CGGGATGTTGTTTAAGATTTAATTCCTCCCTCATCTGTTCCCCTAAACATCCTCCCCAGCTTAATCTCTTTGATTGGATATTCTAGACACAGACCGGCTAAAATTAAACTTTACAGGCCAGATGTAGACGGGACCCTGCTACTTTGATCTGCGTGTTTTGGATTATTCTGCATTAATTATGATTTGGAGGTCAGTTTTTTGACACCATTTCCAAAACATGAGAACCGTCCTTTGATCATACATTACCCCACTCGCTCTCTCACTCAACAGGCCAGACGGATGATTATTTATAGTCGAAAAGAGCTCCGGACACTTTTTCTCATCCACTTTTTTCTCATTTCTTGTACAGGTCAGAGGTCAAGTACTCTGGACTCCAGTTCCTTTATTCCTCTAAAAGCCCCTCAGTCAATGTAGCGAACACAGTTATATGTGCATTTTTACTGCGTGAATTTAGCTTATTTTGTGAATATGAATATGTTTTACTTTTAATATCCATTTCATATTTGTGTATTTTTCTATTTATACGTACATACTTTGGGGAAATATTGTAACAATGTCAGATAACAGGGATAAGCTTTGCTTCGGCCTATTCCTTTTTTGGTAAACTGTGGGTTTGTCAATTGTTCTTTTTTTTTTTCTTTTGTTGTTTCTTGTGTTTAATGTGGACAATTTCCCAAAATAAAGTGATTGATTGATTGATTGATTGATTGATTGATTGATAAAGACGTTTGGGTCTTCACTTGATCACGTGATGCTTTTGATGTAAATTCTGAGTTTCGTTTATAATTAGTCTGCGTGTGTAAGAAAAAAGGCAAAGGACTCAAATATAGAAGAAATGGACTTCTAGCAACTCCTAACCTTCTGGTTGGAGGGGCATACGGTATGGACAATTTAAGGGAATTTATATTTTGTTTAATAAGTTTCATTTGATAATTCATGTAAGGGAACATGACGGTTTTATTGATGAATATTTTTCACTGTGTATTTTGCAGTGTTCACGGTGGTCTTGGGCGTTTGTAAGACGGAAAATCCTTTAATAAAAGTTTGGAAACATCAGTTGGATACTTGCACTTGCATCAACCAGTTATAAAAAGTTGGGAGCAGCTATAGTCAATATGCAGTAAGAGCTAAATTATTCTCTAAAAAATCCTGTGAACTTAAAGCAAACTCCTATCAGCTGGTATTTTCCTCCCACCTTTCGCTCTTTCATTTGAAAGCGCTTTAACTGAGTCTGTTCTTTCTTTCTTATCCGATTTTGCCGGTTGCAGGTGTGACTTCACCTAATAAAAATTGGATTCCACAAACAAAGCCTCAAATAAATTCAGCCTTCACAGCATCCCATCAGAAAAAAGAAGGACGGATTCGTTTAAGGACTCTCAAAGAAGGGAAGATCATCCAAAGTTTGCAAGATTGAAGCAAAACAGACCAACGAGGAAAACAATAATAAGAACAATAACAGAATCTTACCCATTCCCCGGAGACAGTGGGAGAGGGAGGAACTCAGATTCTTTGCGAGGTCGATTTGAATTGTAGGAAGATAAGAAACGGGCTGTAATATCCCTGCAGTGGGTCACTTCCAGGCTGTGATCCGGCCGGTAAAACTCCAGTTCAGGTTCAGGTGGGCGGAGCTTAACGAGCCGCTAATGGAAAAACTACAGTCTCTGGGTTAGAACATGCAGATGTTATTCATGAAGGCTCAGAGCCTTGAATTACATCTTTAGGGTCAGAGACTCGTCTGGTGAGATCTCATCCTGCTGAAAACTAACCTGAGGCCTCAGAGAGAAAAGCAGGGAGGTTCTGTATTCCCATCATAGCATGGAGCTGTTTAACCCTATAATGCCAAATGTATCATATCTGATTCATACGGTTTCTGAAATGTTTTGCGTCTGACACCTTTTGCATAATTTAATGGTAAAAACTTTGCTAAAATCCTATTGTACACAATCAGATACACCTGATAACAGGGGGAAGAAGATTACACAAAAAATAATCTTGACCTATTGCATAGTAATAAATTATTAATATCAAAAATGTATTTTTGTTTTTACATATTTTGTGTAAAGGCCAAATAGAGACTTAAAACCAAATAAAACTCATTTTCTGTTTTGTGTTATTCTTTAAAGGGTTAACCCTTTAAAGCCGGATCCAAGAAAAATAGGAAGAATATTGGATTTCTTTAGTCTGAAGTCTTTGTTTGGCCCCTCAACAACATATGAAGCAAAAAAAAACAGAAATTATTTCGATCATATTAGCGTGCAATAAGTCAAAAATATATTTTGGTGTAGTCTTCTACTGGCTGTTATCAGGTATATCTGAATGTGTACAACAGGGGTTTGAGCAAAGCTTTTACCACTGAATCATGCAGAAAGTCTCAGATCCAAAAGACTTCAGAAACCGTATCAAATATGACACATCTGGCATTATAGGGTTAAGTTTGTTAGCATTTCTGGGCCTAAGACAAAGAAACTCCATTTAGGGAAATTTAGCTTTTCACTTTTCAGTGTCTCAGCTGAGAGAAGTCCAGTTTGTGCTTTTCCTCATTCAATTCCAGATGACTCTTTCCACCCATAGGAGTTTTTTTTTAAACAAAATATCAGTTTGAGTCAGTGAAACTGCACTGGCGTGTTTCTTATGGAAATGGTCAGGTGTCAGTCTCATTTAAAGCTGCTATGAATGCTGCATACTGAGCAGCTTTTACAACCTAACGTTGAGTCTGTTGTTATTTTCAGGAGTTTCTAAAGAAGCTGATTTAGAGACCGTCCCCGGCCCCCCCGCTGACCACCCGGGCTCCCCAGAGCCTGCAGACCCTGAGGGATCCAAACCCAGGACCTCCAAGAAGAAAACTAAGGTGGAAGAATGAGTTTTGGTTGTTTTACTTGTTTGTTATCGGATCATTCTCACGTTACGCGACCAAATCAAGTCTCTTTAGCGCCACACAAACGACTGTATTCGTGCTTTTCTAGCTCACTGTAGTCAGACATGGAGCCTTAAGATAGAAGTTTATCATAGCTGCGAGGAAATGTACAGATAAATTCTCTGTGTCGAAAAGGCCGAGATCGATGCTGAACGCCGATGCATTATTTATCACTGTAAACAGAATTCAGAGATTATGCGTCGGTCCTCGTTCGTGGAAATAGATTTAGCTAATTTTGGTGAAAAAGGGAGAGGGCAGGTCCAAAGAAATTCTGCTGACAAAATGGTGGTATCGGCATTTCTGAAGGCTTTTGCATAAGTATTTTTAGAGTTAAGCAATAAGGTGGAGTGATGAAATGTTCCTTGTATTGACATCCTGTAGAATCCAATACATGTAAAGGAAATGCTGCGACAATCACTGTTAGAGACCAGAAGGAGTTCAGAGAGGAAGGGTTTATAGCTCTAGTACAAAGCTGGATTGTACGGTAGGACTTGAATGTAAATAGAAATGTGCTTTTATATGTGGACAAATGCTATGTTTATAGAAGGAAAAGCATTTCATATTAAATAAGAGACTGTAAAGAAAGCATCTGTCTGGCTTGATGTGTTCTCATCTGTTAAAGGAATTCAGCCGAGCAGAAAAAACCTGAACATAATCAATATTTGTTCAAGAAATATCACTCAAACCTACATTAAGAACATCCATGTGAGCATCGACTCGTTCATAAAGTTTGTCCTCGTAAAGGGCTTTAAAATGTACAAAAAATGTTATGATTACAGAAATTTCCATGTATAAATAATACACATAAAGAGATATTTTATTATAAAATAACATTGTTTGCAAATTACTTTCTCTATTCGCTGAGACGACAGGTCCTCGTTGAGCTGAATGTTTTCTGAATAAGGTATGGTTTTTGGGGTTTAAAGAGAAATTAAAGTATAATTAAGGAGTAAATTATTCTGGTTTCAGTTTTAAAAGTCAGGAACAAATTTATTCTTTACAAAAAATGACAAGCACAAAGACAAAAAGAAGACACACAACAGGCTTTCTCCTTTTTTCAGGATTTCTCCTCTTCCTCCTCTAAAAGGATTAGTCCGTTTATCAGAATTAGATGTCCACCCCCCTCCATCACATGAAAAC